AGGAGTTTGAGGTTGCAGTGAGCTATCATGATGCCACTGCACTCTAGCCCAGGCAACAGAGCGAGACCCTGTCTCAATAATAATAGTAATAAAAACCCAAACCATTAAAATTAAAGTACTATTCATTGAATGTTGACTTATGGAATGTACAGTTGCTAAAGATTTTAGTTAGAAGCCTTGAACTAACATTTTTTGGTTCTTGTTGCCCCTTCCAAAAGATATTGCAAGAAAGTAAAAATTGTTAATAATGTGAATAGCTGAATGTGGTTTTTGATCTTTTTCTTAAAAAAAGAAAAATCTTTTAAAAAATGACAAAAGTCATGCATGTATGATTATAGAAAATACAGATGAAGATTACAGAAGAATATAAAAGTTACCCATACTCTCAGCTCCAGAGATGATTTTGATGTGTATTCTTGAAGTTTTTTGTCGGGGGTAGGGTTGGTGGCAGCAGTGGCGACTATGCTTATATGGGCTGATCTTGAAATAATTCTGAATTTATTTGCAAATAGAAAAAAAAAATTGGAGAGCTGATTCTATCTTATCCCAGTATAGTAATTTAATTAATCTGTTAAAAGTTTAGCAAGCCATCTCTATGAGTAATTTATATTAATGCCTTTTTATCAAGTCAAATTAAGTAATTGGCATATCTAATTAGTCTATCTCCTGGTTAAATCAGTGCCTGATTGAACCACAAGACAGAACTTTTGAATATAAATCAGTGCTTTCAGAATATTAGTAGTATATGCTTTTGCTTCAATAAACTATGTATCCATTTTGGGAACCACTGAGGTGTTTTTTGGTTGGTTTATTTTGTTAACTATTGAAAACTGAGGCAGAACATTTTTGTTTGTAGTTTGGGGAAGAAGAGTGTTCAGCTGCTCTGCATTTTGGAGAATGATGGTTTACAACGTAATGTGTACATTTCTCCGGTTGCCTTTCGTCCTTCCCATCTTCCAGGTAGATAAGAATCTGCATGACTGCTAAGTGTCAATACATATAGGTTGACACTAGTTCATAGAAGGAGTATAATATAGTAGAAGACAACAGGCCTTGGAGATTTGCTGCTTTCTACCCGTGTGTTACCCTTGGCAAGACCTTAACCCCTTTTAGTCACAGTTAGCTCATCTATAAGAATGGGAATAAATCCAAACACAAAAGATTAATTTGATGGTTAGTCTTCGGTTCTACCCTGTTTCATTTCTTACTTATCCCCATGCCCTGCCACACCGCACCTCCTTTGTGATGGCCAGCAGACAGGAATCGTCTTGAACTTCATTTTCCCTCTCATTTCAGCGGGGAAGGTGTTCCTTTTCCTAGTTAGTAAATTTATTTTTCTGTCTGTGTCCTGGCTTTTTCTCTGTCTTTGATCCTTGCTTCATTGATAATCTCTTCCATTACCCTGGCTGTCTTCTTCCTCCTTTTCTTCTTGGTGAACGCTTAATGATTTGACAAAGTATAGTTCAGATATCACCTGCAAAAAGCCTCCTGTAGCTTCGCTGGCTTTTAGGGAGGTGCCCCTTCTCTGAGCTCTTCAAGCATCCCAGCGTTCTTAGAGCGCTCTTCCCACATTGGCTTTTAGGGGGTTAACTTGCCTGGTTTCCCACTAAGCGCCCTGAGGGCCAAGACGGTATCTTGTTTACTTTGTATATAGGGCCTAGGTGAATGAGTAGAATGAGTTGAATAAATGGTGAATGAATGGTTCTCAAAAAAATGTTTCTCATTTTTGCCTTCGGGGCAGTATCCAAAGTGGGTTAAGATCATGGAGTTTGGGGCCTTATTGCTTGAGTTCATATCCCAGCTTAGTGTGTGCCCTTTGGCAAGTACCTCAGTTGCTGCTTCTGTAAAATGGGGCTAATAATGATAGTATTTGTTATAGAGTTATTGTGAGAATTAAGTGACCTAGTAAATGAGTAGGTCTGAGAACAGTGTGGCATAGTGAGTGTTGATTATCACTGTTACTGTATTTCATGAACTTTCAGCTGCCTTCTTGTAATTTTCTACTGATAATTCTGATTTTATAAAATCTCAGCATGGTAACATCCTTCCTATCGAAGGCATTTGATTATTTTGGGAGTGTTTTCATTCTGTCATCTTTCATTGGGTACTTATAGCAAGTGAGAGCAGGACGGGCCCTTGTCACTCTCATTACCTAGATAAGGGGAGTTACAAGGGGAGTTCTGGGTGCTCTAAATCCAGTACCCTCCACTTCATGCTGTGTTGATGGTTCCATTAAAAAAACAACAACAACAACAAACCAAAACTTTGATTTGAAAATAATTTTAAAGTTACAGAAATAGAGAATTCATACTGTTTCTTCTAATACTAGCACCTTGACCATCTTCTCCCCCCTTTTTTTTAAAGTGAGTATGGTTTAGTTTTGAATATACATGACCACGTTTTTTTTTTTTTTTTTTTTTTTTTTTTAGACAGAGTCTCGCTTTGTTGCCCAGGCTAGAGTGAGTGCCATGGCGTCAGCCTAGCTCACAGCAACCTCAAACTCCTGGGCTCGAGTGATCCTTCTGCCTCAGCCTCCCGGGTAGCTGGGACTACAGGCATGCGCCACCATGCCCGGCTAATTTTTTATATATATATCAGTTGGCCAATTAATTTCTTTCTATTTATAGTAGAGACGGGGGTCTCGCTCTTGCTCAGGCTGGTTTCGAACTCCTGACCTTGAGCAATCCGCCCGCCTCGGCCTCCCAAGAGCTAGGATTACAGGCGTGAGCCACAGCGCCCGGCCCATGACCACGTTTTTTAACAGCTTTATTGAGATATAATTCCCATATCATTCAGTTGATTCATTTAAAGTGTATAATTCTTTTGTTTTTAGTATATTCACAGAGTTGTGTAACTATCACCATGGTCTAATTTTAGAACATTTTTATCACTGCAGAAAGAAACTCTGAACCCATTAGCATCACCTCCACTCCTCTCTCTACCCTCCTCCCCAGGCTCAAACAACCACTAATCTACTATCTGTATCCCTAGATTTGCCTATTCTGGACATTTCATGTAAAATTTCTGCCATCATTATATCTTGTTAACATTTTCTATGTAGAATTACATAGATTGTAGAATTACAGTGCCTAGGTTTAAATTCTGGCTCTCTTTCTTTCAAGTGTCTGACCGTGGACTTGACATTTAATTTGTCTCTGCTTTAGTTTCCTAAATTGTACAGTGGGAGACAATAATAGTATATATATTAATACATATAGGGTTGTAAGAACTAAATGAGTTAACATGTGGAAGGCCCTTACAAGCTGTTTCTGGCTCTAACTTGTACTCTATAAATTTTACACTAGGATTTGTCATATTTTTAATTGATTCATTTTATAGTCTTCCATATTAGTGTTTATTTTGTCTGTATTGCTACTAGTTAACCTTACAAGTATATAAAAATTATCTAGATCAGTTTTAATATCATGTCCTAAATCCTGAGTTTAGAATTTAGTCATCGTAAACTATTTCCTGTCACAATGACTTAGTTGGTGAAAAGAATTGCAGCATTTGGCGGTGTAATTATGCATCTTCATTTGGCACTTTGGTGTACTTATTTGAATGAGAGATGATGTACCCATGTGACTTAGTTAAAATCAAAGTAAATCTAGGGCATTGGTTTCTGAAAACCAAGTTGTACTTTCATTAAAGTGAGTTTGTTTTGTGAACAGTTGCTTTTGAAACTAATATTTTAAGCACATTTGTTTCTTATAGACTTCTAAGATCAAAGGCAAAATATGTTCCTGTAGGAAAAATTCACAGTGCCCAAAACATACCCACCACTACCACCTCTGTAGATGGAAAAACTGCTGAAGGTTAATTTAAGTGATCTGCAGGATAGTTAAATGAAGCTTGTAAGATATCTGTTTAATATGGTTATATATTGTCAAAATAATGTTCAACATAAATAACGAGTCAAATCCAGATTAAGACATGTGAGAGGGATTGTGAAATACCAGACAAAAACTGGAGACAGTTTTTTCTAGTTCCTGGACCAGAAACTAGAAGATCCGAGATCAAGACTTGCTACTAGTCAGCTGAATGACTTGGAACAAGCCACTTAAGTTCTCTGGGCCAGTTTGCTCATCTGTAAATCGAGACAGTTGTACTAGAATAGATGATCTCTTCTGGCTAATCCAGAGTAAAAATCGTGTGATTGATTTCTCATAACAGCAAACAAGATACTGCCAAATAATGATTAATTCTCTGTGCATTAATGAAGGAGGGATATGGAAGTGAAGTCTCTGAATTTGTATTTTTGCTGCTCTTTTTCTCAATCCTATTACTGCCATGTTGCTTCTAGTCTCACAATAAGGTGGCTGCTTTATGACTTGTATTTCTACATTTCTGCCATCAGGTATATTCGTCTCTTTTCAGGCAGCTCTGACTCATGATACCTTCAAAATTGTATTAAGGTTTTAGTTACAGATGCTGTGGGTTGGCAGAGGAACTCAGGACTAAAATCGACCCTCCCTCTTTGGTGGTGGAAATGGTAGTTGGCATATTGTGTGTTCCAGTGTGTCCTGGGGCCTTTTTAGGAGTAGTTGCATTTCTTAAAAATTACCTATAAAGTAAATGGCTGTATATAAGTTGTTTTTGTGACTAATTTTGATTTTAAATAAGAAATTACAGTTTTATAGAAGGAAAATATTGGTACCTGACATGGAATAAATTTTCACTTAAGATCCCAAATATTTACTTTAAAGAGCTATTCTTGTAAGTAGGCAGTTTTATATTTCATAATTTTTGCCACTTGTTCCCAGCTGTGGGCCATGGATGCTGGGGAGGTATGAGAAGTTGTTGTTAGGGTTCAGTCATCTAAAGGAACCCCAAACTGCAAACTAAATAAATAGTAGGCCTTAGACTCTGTCTCTACAAAAAATAGAAAAATTGCCCAGATGTGGTGAGATGTGCCTGTGAAGTCCCAGCTACTTGGGAGGCTGAGACGGGAGGATCGTTTGAGTCCAGGAGTTTGAGGTTGCAGTGAGCTGTGATGACACCACTGTACTCTAGCCCAGGGAACAGAGTGAGACCCTGTCTGAAAAAAAGAAAAAAAAAAAGGCTTTGGGTGTAAATGTACTAGTGTTTTCCAAATGCATATAGGAGCTTGTGACTAATAAAGATTTATTTAAAAGCACTTACTGAATTCATAAAAATCCTTTGTCATTGTATTTCCTTTAATGATATTAATGATAAAATTACTATCACATGAAGATCCAGGAATACTTTAAAACCTTCCTAAGGTTCATATACACAAAGCTTTAAAAACATTCTTCTCTAAAACCATGTCAAGAAGTTAGTGAAATAGTCGGAGGGGCCACCTGATAGTATACATCTGTTTAGCAGCATACATTAATTAAGTAGTTTCTTTTGTAAGCATTGTAGAACTTAGAGAATTTAAGTAGCCTTGCTTTTTCACTTAATAAAAACATTTTTAATCTCTTTAACAGATTTAGGCCTTTGGATTTCAAGATAAAAAACAAACATTCCAAAAAGCCCTTGAGACTTCGTTGATCCTACCTAAAAAATCTAAGTTTAAAAGAAAAGATACTAACTTCATTTATGATAAGGTGGTTAGTTTTGTTGACTGAATTAGCATCATGCTCAAAATAAGACGTAACCTATAGAAACTGAATTCAGTTACTGTCAGAAGTTCACCAGATACTGAATGTATTATATTTTAAGTGAATAGGAAAGTGAGATTTGTTGGTATTTATGACAAAATAAATATTGAACAATCGAGAAGTATGTTACCAGATGATGCCACTAACATGAATTTATTTCTGGTCATTATTAGGAACATTTTCCGTGACAGCTTGCATCCATCATTAATTTGCCTTTCCAGTGTCTCTGTAAACGTTGAACAGGTTCATGTGTTTATACTCACTTACTCTATATTTTACCTTGGGAGGAGGAGGTGTATGGTTAATCCATAGATGGTGCTTACAGTTGAGAAAGAAAATCATTGTGGCCTTTTGATTGAGAGCCAAGTTTTATGAAATCCCATGGAGCCAGACGTCAGATCTAGGGTTCTAATTGGCTAAGGACCTTCAGAGTTCTTTTGCCATGTCATTCTTGTAAAGGAAAGGAAATACTATCACTCACATTTATGAATCTCTAAAACGTTTAGAAATGGTATCATATAGGTATTGTATGTTTGTGATGATAACTGCCTGAATAAAGGTTAAGATGTCATGGGAAAATAGGAAAATGTAAGCAGGAAGAAAGAGAGATAGTTTATTTTTAGCAATTTAGAATGTTCCATTTAAAAGCTGTTAAACTGGCTAGAACTTGGGGGAAGGGAAGGGGATACTGGAGTCGTTTAAAGGCCATAGCCTATTATGGTGAGTACCTGAGATTTTGATTTAAAATTTGTGTACCTGTATATTTTAGAACCAGAAAATTTCGTTGGAAAACTGCATTTTATATTGTGTACCCAGATAAAATAGTTTCTTATTCCAAATCTAGAATTGAGATTTAAATTTTTATTAATTGTCAGGTCCATCAACCTTTCAGGCATTTGGCTTCTTTGCTTATTCATTTAAGATTTAAGTAGGAGAAGATAGTCACATCAATAAGTTTTGCTTATTTGTATCAATAAATTGAAAAGGGAAATTAGAGTCATTTAAATTTGACTGCATACGATCAGATTCTGCTAAATTAAAATATAATTTAAATCTTAAGTATTTAATAAATATTTATTAAAAATATTCTACTAAAATAAATTACTTCCCTCTGTGTATGTTTTTAGTTGTTGATTGGGTGTGGTTCAAGAGGAGAGCTGGGTAAGGTTTCTTAGCTCTTTGAGATTGGTTTGCCAAATTTAATTTAGCTTTAAGGTCTCAGCAATGTCTACATAGTGTTGGTGGATAAATGGTAAACACTGATAAACCCCAATGTCTGATATAGAATGATCCACAAAGCTTGATTTATAGAAGTAGTGGTACTCACCAAATAAAGTATTTAAGACTTAAATTTGACAGTTGAACAGTGCAAGTCTTTTTTAAGTCTGGGCCTTGAAAAATATTGTATCTTAAACACATGCTTATCAAAAAAATGAAAACAAATTAGTGTATATTCTTTCATACTTTTTTGTCTACATATACATATGTATATGCATGTTTATTTTTACAAAAATAGTACCATACCAACTATATGTATTTCTACAAACATTTTATTTCCTATTTAAAAGTTTGTCATATTGTTGTCTTTTTTTAAATGGCAGTGGCCGGGCACAGTGGCTCACGCCTATAATCCTGGCACTCTGGGAGGCCGAGGCGGGTAGATTGTTTGAGCTCAGGAGTTCGAGACCAGCCTGGGCAAAGGTGAGACCCTGTCTCTACTAAAAAAATAGAAAATTAGCTAGACAACTAAAAATATATATAGAAAAAATTAGCCAGGCATGGTGGCATGTGCCTGTAGTCCCAGCTACTCAGGAGGCTGAGGCAGGAGGATCCTTTAGCCCAGGAGTTTGAGGTTGCTGTGAGCTAGGCTGACGCCACGGCACTCTAGCCCGGGCAACACAGTGAGACTCTGTCTAAAAAAAAAAAAAATATGGCTATTACAGTCTTTCAAGGTGTGAATATATTATATAATAACTTATTTAGAACCATTTCCTTATTGATAACATTTGAGATTTTTGCTATTTTAAACAGCATTGGAAGGCCAGGCACGGCAGCTCACGCCTGTAATCCTAGTACTCTGAGAGGCCGAGGTGGGCGGATTGCTCAAGGTCAGGAGTTCAAAACCAGTCTGAGCAAGAGCGAGACTCTGTCTCTACTATAAATAGAAAGAAATTAATTGCTGTATCTATAATTCTAATATATATAGAAAAAATGAGCTGAGCATGGTAGTACATGCCTGTAGTCCCAGCTACTTGGGAGGATGAGGCAGCAGAATCGCTTGAGCCCAGGAGTTCGAGGTTGCTGTGAGCTAGGCTGATGTCATGGCACTCACTCTAGCCTGGGCAACAAAGTGAGACTAGATCTCAAAAACAAATAAATAAATAAAATAATAAAAAATAAATAAACAGCATTGGAGAGGAGAGGAGTTGCTTAATTCATATCTTTCTGTGTGCGTAGGTGAATGTATCTATAGGATCTATTCATAGAAGTGGAATTCTGAATAAAATAGCAAAACTTTGGTGGATGCTAGCAAATTACTTTGCAAGTAGCATTTTACATTTCTAGCAAGGGCATCTGAGAATACCTTTTCCTTACATTCAGGCTGTCATGGCTGTTTTTAGTTATGTTAATTTTTTTGCTAATTTTATAGGTCAGAAAGTAGTATCTAATTTTTATTTTGAAAACTTTATATTTAATTACTTACTTTAATTTTTGAGACAAAGTCTTGCTCTGTTGCCTGGGCTGGAGTGCAGTGGTATCATCATAGCTCACTGTGATCTCAAAAGTCCTGGGCTCAAGCAATCTGTCTGCCTCAGCCTCCGGAGTAGCTGGGATTACAGAGTAGTATGCCATCATGCCCAGCTAATTTTTCTACTTTTGTGTAGAGTGGAGGTCTAGCTATGTTGCTCAGACTGATCTCCAACCCTTGGCCTCAAGTGATCCTCCTTCCTCAGCCTCTGAAAGTGTTGGGGTTACAGGTGTGAGCCACCATGCCTGGCCAAAACTGTATTTTTAAAAAGAACAAATAACCTGATTATAGGAGTTGGAACATCATGTCTTCTGAATACTTAACCATAACTATTGGTTAATAAGATTTTTTTAAAAGTTTACAAACTAAATTAGTTACGGAGGCAAAAGCATCACTTCCACTGTTGTTGAAGAACCGTGTGTCATTTGAAGCTTGTGTGGTTAATACTCCTAGAATACTTCATTGTGTTTCTATCTTTCATGTTTGGTAAATAACATCTGAAATACTTGCATAAATATTTCTTACTACCTGTGCAAGACTAACTACTTAAGTGTAGTTTGCCATCCTGAATACAGAGTAAACTGCCTTGGATTTGGCTGCTGATGCAAATGATTTCAGGTGCTTTTGCCCCAGTGATTCCCGACTGGGGGTGCTTTTGTCCCCCAAGAGACATTCTGCAATGTCTGGAGACTGGTTGTGACACCTGGGGCAAGGTGAAGGGGGAAAGAGTAGGAGGTTGCTATTGGTATCTAGTGGTAGACGGGCCAGGGATGCTGCTAAATAGTCTACAGTTCATAGAACAGTTGCCCACAATAAAGAATTATCTGGCCCGAAATATCAACAGTGCTGACATTGAGAAACCCTGCTTTACCCAAAGGAATTAGATTCTGGAATATTTTCTACCTTAAACTATCTGATTCCTTTATTTAAATGGATTTTACCCCATTTCTTGTGGCTGTGTGCCACAAGACCTTTGTGCCAGGCTGACCTTTAGTATATCAGGATTCCTTACCTATAGCAGCTGACTACCCTTGACTTTGTGTTGCTATTTCTAGTTTTTTTGTGTGTTGTGCCCAGAGGTAGGGACAGGCAAGCAGAGTTAGGTAGAGGTTGGTAAAGTGAAGCCTGGTATCTTCTCTGAGGCTATAAAAGTTTTCTAAAGACTCAGTTTCTGTGTTCTAGTGAGGCTTCTGGTAATTTCTGGCCTGGAAGAATTGGTTATAATTATTTTGCCAGTAAGTACCCCTTTCTAAGAAGTAAAACAAACACATACCATCCTCCTCCCCAACCAGAAACAAAACAAAAACCCAACAAACAAAAACAAAGTACTTGGTGATCAGGGAGAGCCTAAGGTAACTATTCTTATTCACATTTCAAGTTTGTACTTGACCTGGGATAGCATAAGAGAAACCCAACTGATATGACTGTCCAGAGTGCATTTCCAGTGAAGAGGGTGGGGGAGTCCAAAAGAATGTTTTGAGTCATCAGGTCCTTTAAAAATGTCAGATTCTTTCCATGGGGTTAATTTAAACCTGTTGTGACCCTTTAAAAATCTTCACAAGAGACCTCAGAGCCATAATAACGTGGAATACTGCTTGTTTAGTGGAAGTCTTTCTAAAGGGCACCTTTATATTTGGCCTCATTTCTTATATTATCAGCCATCCTGAAAGAGAGAAACAGGAATTTTTGAGTCCTTAACTGGAAAGAACAGCTGCTTGGGGAAGAGATTCTCAAGAAATAAGTTTCCTTTTGAATAAGAAGGAAGCTCTCCCCTTGGAAAATAAGGGGTATTCTTCTTTTTTCTTCCTTTTGCATGAGACTTCAGGTTTAGGCTAAGCATATGAAGTGTATATGAAAGTGTGAAAAATCAGTGTGCTATTTAAGATAAACCTGTAATTCTTGTTCAGAGGTAGTAAGCTGTAAATCATGTTATTGAAGAACAGAGAATAGCTGGGTTTCTTTTATGACCACAGAGTAGAACGTTTCTGCTTTATTCCAGGTCTGAGGAAATGGGAAGTTTTCCCCTTTGTTTTTTTTGCTGTCTTTTTTTGTTCCCTTTATTTCTTTCATTGTCTTTAGAGTTCCCCAATAACAATATGATGCAAACTACAAATGAGAGCCACATAAGTAATTTGAAATTTTCTAATAGTCATATAAAAAAAGGAAAAAGTAGATGAAATTAATTTCAATAATATACTTTCTTTAACCTAATATATGTAACATGGTATCATTTCAACGTGTAATCAATATAAAAATGAGTTATCTTAGATTCCTTTCTTCATACTAGGTCTTTGAAGTCCCATGTTTATTTCATAGTTACAACATATCTCAATTAGGACTAGTCATATTTCAACATATACACATAATTTAAGAAAAGATACATATATTTGATATGTAGTTGGTATATAGTTGGTAAAGATACATATAGTTGGTAACCTCAACTATTTATATTTAAGATACTCAAAACAGCTGGGTTTGTGTTTGAGCTACTCAAAACAGCATGCCTATAATCCCAGCTATTTGGGTGGAAGGATTGCTTGAGCCCAGGAGTTTGAGGCTACAGTGAGCTATGATTGTGCTACTGTACTCCAGTTTAGATGACAGAGTGAGACCTTGTCTCTTAAAAATAAAACAAACAAACTCAAAAACATGTCATGTTTCAACAGTGTAGGTGATGGCATAAATTGGCCTGGATTTCAGTGTATCTGTGGCGGTGCTTATGCCAATTTTCTAGTGACATGTATTCTTTAAACATAGGTATGTAGCTAAGAAAAGTGTCACCCAAAGAAAAGGAAGATGACTTCTTGAATTAAATTTTAACCTACTTTGACAGAAACAGTCCAAACCTCAGTGTCATTAGGAAGCTTATTGATAACTGAAATTAAGAATGTTGGTATTTGGTGACCAACATTGAGTGTAGTGCTATATAGATCCATGGAGAAGAAAATGGGTTCTGCTTTCATTAATGGCT